ATATGTATACCTGCTTATACTTATATGTTTATATGTTAGATTCATACTTATACTTGTTTTCTCATACATGCTTGACAAACCAAATAAATAAATAAATAAGATAAACAACGAAGCCACAAAAACTGCATGTTCCTAAAACAAAATATGAATGCAATGGTTTTTTTAAATTCTGGAACACCAATAGTAAAGTATTGGAACTGGCTGTGTGCATCGGACTGCAAATAGTCAAGGACCCAGGGAAGAATGCTCCCCCTCTCAAGCCTCAGCATATTTAGGAATTCCTAAGGACAAACTGCAAGAACAGAGTTAAAGTGACCTAGCTGCTATCACAAAAAGATTGGACATACTTCTGTTATTCACATCTCAGCTGTTTTCTTTTTAATTCAAGGGAAGCTCTCCCCTACCACCAAGATTCAAAGAAACCATCTCCATTTTTCTCCACTGTGGGCTTCTGGATAGTGTTAAAAACCAGCAATTTCCCCAGTACCTTCTGTTCTCTCCTCCCTGCCACGTTTCCTTCTTATACTTCCCCAGCCTTTCTGTTTGCTTCTCTGTTCTCAGTTTCTTCTGCCAAGTTGTGGGAAGCACACCAAATTTGGCACCAGCAAGTTCTCCTCCGACTCCCTAATCTAAACAAATGGAAACAATTTGTCCACTCCAGAGTCTTATCCAGCTTTTCCTCCAATAACTTGAAAGGGCTACAGTAAACTTGCTGATCTTGCAATTCTTCCATCCGTGAAAAGCAAAACTGACTTTCTTTGATCCTTCATTCCCCAATATTTAACCAGAAGTGGGGCCTTCGCCTTTCTTAGAAGCCCCTCTCCCCAGTTTCTAGTTAAACTCTGATTGCCAGCTGATCGATTTTTTTCCTCACCTTCTTTAATTGCCAGAATGAAAGAGAACAAAGCCAAAATAAATAAAAGTCGACCCACTGTTCCCTGCAGCTGGCAAGAGACTTTGTACATCCAGAAGTAGCCTAGCAAATGTGCTGCTTTCAAGTCAAGGGGCAGAAGAGTCAAAACTAGCCAAATTATATTTTGTTATCTGAATCTGATGCAAAACATCCCACAAAGTGTCCCATCCCATACAGCAAATATATTAAATGGCTAACACTGTCTTTGAAAAGTAGCTGTGTGCAGGATTCCTATAAGTATATTCCTATACTTACTGTATCTTCTACTAGCCAATAACCCGGCGTTGCCCGGGTATTTATTTATAGAGGAAAAGTGTCCGGACCAAATGTAATTTCTAATGTTGGAGATTCTCCCTTACCAGAGGGAGCCCCCTTGTGGAGTACTGTGAAGTCATTACTATGGCAACTCCACTGAGCTGCACAATAGAAGCCATTTTACGGCAGTACAGTAGAAGTCATTTTAAGGCACAACAAGCAATCTTAACAGCAAACACACTCTGAGGCATTTTAGGGGTGTCTTACTCCCACAGTATTTGTTTCCAGAGAGTAAGTCATCTTTGTACCAAGTTTAGTTGAAATTGCTCGAGGTGTTCCAGAGTTATGTTGGAACATACACACATACAGCTGTTTTTAGATATATAGAAAGAAAGATTCAGTGGGTCTATAATGCGGCTATAATCTAGGGTTCTTCTGAAACAACTGTATGCCCCTTGATCTTTCAACCACCACAAGAAAGTCAGACAGACCAGAGCAAAGTTCACATTTTTGCTTATTATTTTTATATTGTTAATGGGAATTCTTGGAGTTAGGATTGGAGGGGAGGAATACCCAAGTTGGTGTATATCTGAATCTTATAGGTGGTTTTCAGTTTATGATCATAATGGAGCATGCCCATTACACTCATAAGTCACAGTGGTCCTACAGCAGGTTGTGTTTCTGATCTGATTTTATAACTATTTTTGCAATGGTCATGAAGTGAATCCCTGATTCTTTATTGGAAATTGCCAAAACCTGGAAGTAAATCCTGGGTTTTGACAAAAATGACATAAATCATGGTCACTGCAAATAACCATAAATAGCCGACAACTATATGTGAGGTGGCACAGTGGTTAGAGTGCAGTAATGCAGGCTACTTCAGCTGACTGCTAGCTGTAGTTTGGCAGTTCAAATCTCATCAGGCTCAAGGTTGACTCAGCCTTCTATCCTTCTGAGGTGGGTAAAATGAGGCCCCAGATTGTTGGGGGCAATAAGCTGACTCTGTAAACTGCTTAGAGAGGGCTTTAAAAGCACTATGAAGCAGTATACAAGTCTAAGTGCTATTGCTATATGTATTTATTTCCCTTTTGTCTGCTTACAGAAAGCCAGCACGGAAAAAGAGCATCAAACAATGAAGATGGGAACAAGGAATATTTCTGTGGCTTCAGCAGCCAAAATTCTTTCAATTAAAATACTTCTTTATATATCAGCCGTTTCAAACCCATGAGTTAGGATTATAGTCCCTAACATTCCCAGCCAACCATTGACCACTGGGACTATATGAAATCATCAGAATAAAATCTGGCATTAGAGGAAACAGATGAAAACATATCAGTAAGCAACAGAATGTGCCAAATAATTGAGGCCTTTGAACTATGGTGCTGGAGAAGACTCCTGCAAGTCCCTTGGCAGCAAGATGATCAAACCAGTCAGTCTTAGCGATCAACTCTGACTGTTCTTTAGAAGGCCAGATCCTGAAGATGAAACTCAAATACTTTAGCCACCTAATGAGAAAGAAGGACTCACTGGAGAAGAGCCTAATGCTGGGAAAAATTGAGGGAAGAAGGGGACGACAGAGAATGAGGGGGCTAGAGGAAGTCACCGAAGCAGTAGGCATGAGCTTAAATGGACTCCAGAGGATGGTAGAGAACAGGAAGGCCTGGGGTCTTGTCTATGGGGTCACGATGGATTGGACATGACTTTGTAACTAACAACAACAACAACAACAAACAGAATATTCAATTTAACAGTGTATATTAGGTTTGGAAACCAAAGGATATGTGGGAAAAGGTAAAGATCCCAGTGGGAAAGTATATGCATTCCCCTTGCTTCTTCTAAGACATGTTTCTCAACGTTGACAACTCAAAGTTATGTAGATTTCAACTCCCAGAATTCCAGAGCTGTAACATTATGGGAGTTGAAGTCCACATATCTTCAAGTTGCCAAGGTTGAGAAACATTGCTCTAATCAGAGCAGAAACATGCCCCCATAATGCCATTTCATAAGGCCAAAGTCAAATGTTAACTTGGCCTCCTCTACGCCCACAGCCGAGGCTACGTAAAACCATCTTGAGATATTCCAATTTTAAAGTAGTGTTTTCTTCTTCTCCCGCTAGTTGTGTAGCTCACTGAAGATCATTTTAAACCATACAATAGCTGGACATTGCCATCTGTGGATGGTGGTTCTGCTACCAATGTAGCATTACAAGTTGTCCAAAGCTTCAGATGACACATTGCTTTTCATGGGGGATTTTTTTGTTTCCTTCTTTTTAGGGGTACCAGCATGTTTTATCTACTCCTATCCCATTTTGCCTATTTGTAGGTGACTTATAGATGTTACCAATTGTAGCACATCATGCTACCGCAGCACTACTATGGCCTTGGGCATATCTTTCTGTATCAGGACAAGGACTGATAGGTAACATTTTAGTCAGACTGGATTAGCTGGGCTCTTATGTTGCCTATTGGATAGGATATTTTGGTTTTATGGGGGAGGTATATATTTTGCTCTTAACTAAGCCTACTTCAAACTGTGCAATACAATTCTCATGTGGCCCTCTCTGCTCAAGATTGGTTGGCTTTCAGCATCTGTGACTACAAGAATTTGGGGTATCTGCAAGAAATAGATGGTGAGGCCACACAGCCCAGGGCTTCAAACTTGCCCATTGCTGATATGGGGCCCATGAATAAATGGTTATTTATTCATGGGACCCAAACCTTGTGTCCACAGATGCATCTGGATATCCCTCCTATCATCTCCCAACATCATGCATGTGGTTAAGGATTGGAAAAGTTAGGGGTCCTTGGTGTTCTCCGAGCTTGCTTTCTTGCCAAACTAGGCATTATCATCATCTGATGTTAGCTTGGGCAATGAAACATCTGCAAGTAAACAAACAAGCTCAGAGAGCACCAAGGATACCTCATTTCAACCTTGATATACAAATGGTGCCCTTTATTGATTAGTGAAGTTGTCTATAACATCAGGTGGCAATAAACACCTCAGTCTAGGTTTTTTCCTCCTCCCCCCCCCCATCGCTAATAATTTTCTAATTGCTAATAATTGGCAAGGGACACTGTGGCTCAGTGGCTAAGATGCTGAGCTTGTCGATCAGAAAGGTTGGGAGTTCGGGGGTTTGAATACTTAGCGCCAAACAGAGTGAGCTCCCGTTGCTTGTCCCAGCTTCTGCCAACCTAGCAGCACAAAAGCATGTAAAAATGCAAGTAGAAAAATAAGCACCACCTTTGGTGGGAAGGTAACAGCGTTCCGTACACCTTCAGCGTTTAGTCATGCGGGCCACATGACCACAGAGATGTCTTCGGACAATGCTGGCTCTTCGGCTTTGAAACGCCCCCTAGAGTCGGAACGACCAACATATATGTGCGAGGGGAACCTTTACCTTTAATAATCGCTAATAACCATTTGCTCCGTTGGTTACACACAACGACAATTGCCATCCTGTTCTCCGCTACCTGGGACCAACTTCTCGTTAACTACGGAGGAGTCATCCCTGGACTAAGAGTTCTTGGTAGCGCCTTTTATCGGGGTTCCGTCCATCCCAAAAGAGAGAGTAAAGGGACGGCGCAAGAGAGAGAAAGCGGGCGAGGGGAGGAGAGAGAAAACGGCTTATATCGCCGAGGAAAGAGTTAACGGCGCTCGAAACCTAACACCATGCGGAGCCCGAAGAGGGGAGAAAAGGGAAGGGAGCGCGAAAGAATAGAGTCTCTCCTAGGCGGGCTCGGTGGTTGGAGGCGCCTGTGTGCCAGCAAGAAGCTGTTGAAGAAACCCCCAGGCAGAGCACTTCGCGAGCAGAGGTCACCCGATGCGCAGGAGGGACTGAGCAGCCAGCGGAGGGACAGAGACGGTTTGCTGTAAGGACCTGCGGCGACGCGCATCTCCACTGGGGTGAGTCTCCCGGGTTGTTGCACTGAGTTAGGGGGACCTCACTGCAGATTGCAATCCTCTTCATCTTCCTCCCTTTCCCCTCCCGACTTTGCCTAGTCGCCAGTGATCAAATGCCACCCGGCTTCGGCGTCCCTCCTGTCCTCCCCCCTCCCCCCGGTCGGGGTGCTGCGTATCCGCCAAATACCCCCCCCCTCCACCCCTTCGGTAAACCCGCGTAGCTCTGCTCTTTCCGGAGCGCTCGCCGACTTTTCCCAGAGTGAAGAAAGGGGTTATGGCTTCATCCCGGAACAGAAAGCAACTCTTTAGCGCAGAGGTCTTCAAACTTGGCAACTTTAAGATTTGTGGACTTCAATTCCCAGAATTCTCCAGCCAGCTATGCTGGCTGGAGAATTCTGGGAGTTGAAGTCCACAATCCTTAAAGTTGTCAAGTTTGGGGACTCCTGCTTTATAGCGTCTCAGAAGGTCGCCTTCTTAAAAGGGACTATTAGGTTCACAGTTACTTACAGTATCCCTACACGAGCACAAACAACAACGTTGCGATATAAAATAAGGACAGATTTATCCACTGGCGTCTTATTGGGGTTCCCGTTATTTGGGTCCCCATTGTGCACCTCTCGGAACTGACCAAATTATTGTAGATGTCATACGTGGGATTCTCCTCAGGTGCATCTTGAGGGGTGCAGAACAGTGGTGGGCTTCAAAATATTTCACTACTGGTTCTGTGGGCGTGGCTTGGTGGGCGTGACGTGGCTTGGTGGGCGTGGCTGGGGAAGGATACTGTAAAATCTCCTTTCCCACCTCACTCCAGGACAAGGTTACTGCAAAATCCCCATTTCCTCCCAATCGGCTGGGATTTGGGAGGCAGAGAATAGATGGGAGAGGTGGTATTTACCAGTTCTCCGAACTACTCAAAATTTCTGCTATTGGTTCTCCAGAAATGGTTAGAACCTGCTGAATACCACCTCTGGTGCAGAGGGTGGGTGGATGGGGGGAACCTCAGTGATAAGATGAGTGAACTTCAAACTCCAAAAACTTCCCAGCATGGAGAATTCTGGGAATTGGAGTCCTCATATTTTAAAGCATACAAGCTGGGGACTTCCAGGAATTGAAGGTCATGCATCTTAAGTTGTGCGGGGGAAATTTGGAAGTTGTTCTACATGTGTTTTTTAAGTTGCTGAGGTTGAGAAAGATTGCAGTAGAGCACAAAGAGGCATAACTGAGAATGATATGGGAAGAGCAACTAGGGCCAATAGATAAAGATATACAATAATAATAAAGTCTTGTGAAGGTTAGAAGGCCAGGAGTTCCTGCAGAATATAGCAGGCAGCCTAATTGTGAAGTCAGATTCCAGCCACCAGAACAGTGAGGAAAGTGGGCTCATGGGAGACCTAGCCCTACTTTTGCAGCAACACACCCCCTAGGCATGATTCAAAACCATCTCCACTATGCGAATTGCAATGCATAGGGGAGGTAGGAGGTATTAACCTTGTTACAAAAGGGAAAATCAAATACTTTGATATCAAAATGCCTCAGCCCAACATCGGTAGTGGGCTACAGCAAGATGAAGGTCTGATTATGGAGAAATAACAATAACATTTAGACTCTTCACGGTGTTTTACAGAGCCGAGGTGGCGCAGTGGTTAGAGTGCAGTACTGCAGGCCACTTCAGCTGACTGTTAGCTGCAGTTCGGCGGATCAAATCTCACCGGCTCAAGGTTGACTCAGCCTTCCATCCTTTCGAGGTGGGTGAAATGAGGACCCAGACTGTGGGGGCAATATGCTGACTCTGTAAACCGCTTAGAGAGGGCTGAAAGCCCTATGAAGCGATATATAAGTCTAACTGCCATTGCCATTGCCATTACAGCCCTCTCTAAGTGGTTTACAGAGTCAGCAAATTGCCCCCAACAATTTGGGTCCTCATTTTACCCACCTCGGATGGAAGGCTGAGTCGATTTTGAGCTGGTGAGGATTGAACTCCTGGCAGTGGGCAGAGTTAACATGCAATACTGCATTCTAACTACTGCACTACTATGGTGCCATAATGTTCTAAAACAGTAAGTGACTCATATTAATGCCACATGATAGTCACATGGCTAAGCCTTTGTTGAAAATTTACAACAAACTGCATCCTTTAGTAGGTAAGCAACTTACCACAGAGATAACCTGAGGAGAAACCACTCCAAATAAGTTTTTGCTCTATTTCAAAATATTTTAATGTAATCTTTTAATTTAAAGAATGACATTGATTTAAGGATAGTAATGTTGTTTAAGGACATTTGGGCTACTATTTTCCCATCTTCTCTTCACCAGTAATCAATATTTTAGTTACTTCCTATACAGCTGTTTCATTAGGACTTCCTTCCAAGGACAACTACCTTCACAAAAGCACTGAAAAAATGTAGCAGGGCTTAAGTCATCAAAGTGAAGAGATTGAAATCTAGATATTATCATGGCTTTAATTAAAATACAGGTTAAAGTGAGGGTAAAGGACAGTGAAACAAGTTAATTGTTTAAGGACAGCTTTAATTAAAAACTGTTGATGGGAACTAGGGGGCAGTAACATCAAGGTGATCTTGGCTGATCTTAGAAAGGTAAGTAAGGGAAGAGCATGATCAATACTTGGAAAAAGAGATTAACTCTAGGGTTGAGGACTACCCTGGGCAAACCTAAAGGAAAAAAACCAGTAACCCAATCCAATCCTTGAAGAAGGTTGTTGCAATCTGCTTTCATACTATCAAGAAAACTATATGGAAATGTACATGCTTTTTACTAGGAATTGAGCACAATTCAGGGATTGCTTACTTTTAAAAAGCACTATAGCTAAAAATGATAACTGCTCATTTTATGGATTTCTGTAGCTAAACTATTTACAGACAGTTGTAAGGCCAAAACAATATATTATTTTCTTCTGTTCAATTGCATCCAATTTTTGGAGACTGCCTCAACAAGCTAGATATGGCAAGGGAAATCAGGAGGCTTTGCAGAAATAATAGAAAATGATTTTGACAGTACTGGATCTTTGGTGTAAATGCTAGAGATATTTTTACCAATATAGTTTTTTTCATCTTACATTTCTATTTCCATTCAGAGAAATGGAAGGAAAAAACATTCATCCTAAAGGGATCAGTTTTACAGTCAGCTTCACTTACTATAAGACATAATTTGTTTATAGATCACCTTGTGATCTGTATTGAACAACTGAGGAATAAACATTTTCCCTTCCATCACAGCATCAATTAATAACTTGTACAGAATGGAGACAGAAAATATCTGTACAAAAGGAATTTATTTGTTTTTTATTTCCTCCCAAATTAAATTCTAGAATCAATACATTTATTAAAGTATAAGTAGTCCTTGACTTATGACCACAGTTGGGACCAGAATTTTGTTCACTAAGAAATGAGGTTGTTAAGCGAATTATCACATGACTGGATCCAATTCTGTTATCATTGTTCCTGTGGTCATTAAGCAAATCACATGGCTGTTAAGTGAATCATGATTGTGAAGTAAATCTGGCTTCCTATTTGTCAGAAGCCAGCAAGGAAGTTCACAAATCACAATGATGTGACCCAATTAAAACATAGCAATAATTTTGAATGTGAATTGGTTACCAAGTACCTAGATTATAATCAGGTAACCAAGGGGATGGTGTGATGGTCATAACTTTGAGGACAAGTCATAAGTCTCTTTTTCTGAGACCAATGTAACTTTGAACTATCATTAAATGAATTGCTGTAAGTTGAGGATTACCTCTACAACATTTTGAACTCATAGATGCTTTGAGTGTTATCCAAAGGGAGCATTATTAGTGGCTGGGAAGTAAGAACAATAAAACAAATGATCAGAAGGAAATCTCAAAAGGTGTTTTTGCAAAAGGCAACTGGACATTGTTTTACCTTGAGGAAGTTGTTTCACTTCTCATCCAAGAAGCTTCTTCAGTTCTGAACAGAGTCAAAACTGAAGAAGCTTCTTACAGGAGAAGCGAAATGTCTTCCCCAAGGAAGTCCAATTGCCTTTTGAAAAAGCACCTTTGAGACTACCATGACCTGGATAGGACTGAGAATCTCCATAGATAATCAGAGGGAAATGAAATGTAAAGAGTTCAGTTGGGGCATGCTACTTGTAGCGATATTAGCCATTCACAGAATAGTTGTTTGGTGTGGCACAAAACATTTCCCCTTGATTGGCATATTGTAGTGGGATAAATGACTATTTCTCATGTGTTAAACAAAGATAAATATCAGAACTAATCAATTTTCAGCCGGCTATTTTGGGATGAAGCTGGTCACTGTAAATCTTCAATGGCAAGGGAATTCTGCTTGCTTGCTTGCTTTCCTTATTATTTCTGAACAGTTCTCAGAGAAAAAAGTAGCTCCATTCTGGTGTCCAATCCTTTTCACTGGTTTTTTTTCCTTGCAGTTCACAATGAAAATCCTCCAAATTAGCATGCCCCTGGCTTTCCTTGTGCTCCCATTCTTTGTGCTTGGGGCTCCCAGTGAAGAGCTTGGCCAGCAAGAAGTCCCTACCAGCTTGAATGGTTGCAAGAGATGTTGTGATTCTCTAGATGTCCCTGGCTCCTCTGAAGCCAGTCTTGGTACAGACAGACCTCAAGCTTTGCCATTCGTAATGCCAGAAGTTCGTCCATATATCAACATCACAATTCTGAAAGGTAAGCTATTATCATCTGTTACTTTCTGACTCATGCTACCTTCTCGTGGTTTCCTCCTCACTTCATCTCTTTACCTAAATCAAATTGGAAACTTCCCTGGCAGGTTCTTGTGATTTGTTTATTTGCCTTAGTAAATCATCATGTATATTATTGTGCTAAAGGCATACACATCATCTTTCCCAAGACAATAACTGTCAACCACCATGGAAATGTTTATTTAGGGAAGGAATAATTAACCACATTAAACCTTAGTCATATATCCCTCGGCTGCAATGGCTAAACTTGTTGGGAAATAAGTCCAAAACATCTGGAGTGACAAGTTGGAAAATTCTGCTATGAAGTTTCATTTGGTTAAAAAGTCTACAGTTAGCACAGATGGCGACCAAAACAGGCAATTTCTTCAGGCAAAATTAAAGCACATTTAATACAGATAAAACAAAGGCCTGTTACAGAAAGTGTAGCCTGTATGTTTTACTTAGATACAGGTTAAACTTAAAAATTTTCTCCATCTGGGTCATTCAAGCATCCTCCTTAGGACAGGATCGGTTGCCACATGTTCTACCCTGTTTCCCTGAAAATAAGACCTCCCTGGATAAGAAGCCCAATTGGGCTTTTGAGCACATGTGCTAAAACAAGCCCTCCCCTGAAAATAAGCCCTCCCTAAAAATATTGCAACACAGCAGCAGCCATGAGTTGACCATGCTCGCCGTCTCCTGCACCTCAAAAAAAACCCTCCCTGAAAATAAGACCAAGCGCTTATTTTGGGGGTCAAAAGAAAATAAGACCCTGTCTTATTTTTGGGGAAACACAGGTATTATATCCTGCATCACCCCTATGTTCCATCTCCCTTTCTGGAATTTTGTACTATTCTTTAATTATGGTTGCTAGAGATGCTACGCAGGAATGAAATTACATTGTAAGAGCGGATTTTGGAGCCCCCACAAGCAATGGTTGTCTTACACAGCTTCTCCCTTTCTTTCTTTCTTTTTTTCTTTCCTCTCCTTCTTTCCACAGGAGAAAAAGGAGACCAGGGAGAGACTGGAATTCCTGGTAAATGGGGCAAAGAGGGACCCCCTGGTGATCGGGGACACCAGGGTCCAAAGGGCAGCAAGGGACAAATGGGAGCACCTGGAGATCCCTGCAAGCACCAGTATGCAGCTTTCTCAGTGGGCCGGAAGAAGGCTCTCCACAGCAATGAAGGCTACCAGGCTTTGATCTTTGACACTGTCTTTGTGAACCTCTATAGCCACTTTGACATGTTTAAGGGTAAGTTCTACTGCTACGTGGCAGGCCTGTATTTTTTCAGTCTCAACGTCCACACCTGGAATTTCAAGGAGACCTACATGCACGTCATGCGGAATGACCAAGAGGAAGTCATTCTCTATGCTCAGCCCAGTGACCGCAGCATCATGCAAAGCCAGAGTTTGATGCTGGAGCTACGGGAGAACGATGAGGTTTGGGTGCGTCTCTACAAGCGACAGCGTGACAACGCCATCTACAGTGACGATGTGGATGTCTACATCACTTTCAGTGGTTATTTGATCAAGCCCAGTCTTGAATAGCTGTTTCCCTCCAAAGCACAAATTCAACCTCTCAACATCCTCTTGATTTCCTGTGAACGTCTGCAAATAATACAGAAAATGACCAACAGATCTGAAAACAGAGAGAGCACTGAAAAAAAAACTTTTATTTTCTTTTGAGAATGCCAACTGGGAAAAAAATATTCATGGGTCAAAAAAAAGACCCTCCAGAAAAGTTTTGCTGATTTATGTGTCCTTCTCAATACTAGATGTGATTGTAAGGTACGAGCTGAAAATCCTAAGCAGCCTCATGAAATTTCTGTACCTGCTAACTCAGAATCATTTTGTAAACATCTTTGTTTGGACATAACACTTCCTAAGCAGAATGTTCTAATTTAGATTGTTTACATGAGGTAAACTCTTTGAGGTACCTCAAGTGAGATAAGTTACCGTATCTTATCTACAAATCTACAAACCACATGTAGGTGCCTGACAGCCCTCTTCTGTTTGCTAAGAATTCCTGGTGAGAAGCCTTGTATGACTGATAGTTGCCATCACCTTCACAAAATTTACCTTTGTAAATGTTCTATAAGGTTGGCAAATGTAACTGTGATCTGTGCATCTGTCTAATGGACATGCAGTACACTGTATAACGCTGTAGGGATCTCTTCCATCACTATGTTAAACATATGCAGGGTTAGGATTTATCCCAGGTGGCAAAAGAGTAGAAATAATGCTTCCAATTTATCCCCCAAATCAGAAGATTCCTAAAGAGGTTCCATGCTGGTGCCTAAAATTATATTGTAATTGATTGAATCCCAGCAAATCTATAAACATATTACAGCAGGATCCATTTTCCTTCAACTGACCTAGATTGATATTACAGACTTTCCCATAGGCAGGTCACACAAAGGCCATGATGTGGGCAAAATAATCAGTGGGGTTTCCTTTAGTATCATGATCTGACATAATGGCTCGTGATAGAATTAGTGATTGGAGCAGGGCAGGGCTTCAGATTCTAAGGGATAAATTCTTTGAAGAATTTCTACACAGCCCCTGGCAGTAACTTGTTAAACCTAAGAGATCTATTCCAGAGATTATGCTGCAACTGCATTTCTATGTTGCTGTTTTAAGATATTTCCAACATGTGCTATATGTTGCTCCCCATGCTCCAAAGTATCTTCCCCCTTCAAGCTTAAGATGCTGTGCAGCCACTACTGGTTAGTTGGGTAAACTATTTATTGTAAGGGCAAAGGATCCCAAGGAATTATAAGCAAAAGAAAGATACAAGTGGCTTGCATATCAGCTTCTCTCATTGAGGGAAGCAAATGCCATTTCTACATATGGAGCATTCTCTTGCTAAAGCTACAAAAGAAATAGGATACTCCAAGGATGGAAAAACATGAAGAGTTTCTAGGGGGAACTTTTACCTTTTGATTCTCACATGAGACCTGCAATAAAATATGGCAAAGTGCATAGTCATTCAAAATCCAGCATACCCTCTTCCAGGAAACAGCATTTTATTCTCCTCTTTCCTTAGTTTTCCATTCCCCTCTCTCCCAAGAGTAACCATCAAATAAGTGCAAAATATGCTGTTTGGGGGATCGAACATTTGGAAGAATTATCTATGCTGTCATTCAAAGAGTGATCTAAAACTTAACCTTCCATCCAGAAGTGTCCATCAGAATTTTTTCTCTCTATCACATCAGGATAAATCACAATTGTTCAAGAAGATTATAAAGGCACATTTCTTTTCCTATCTATTCCAATTTCCATTCTGCCATTAAGTATAAGTTAGATGACACGTACCCCTTTATTCCCCAAATCACTGCTTATCTGTGTTAAATGCTGACCTACCTTACAGTGTTGTGGTCAGGATATCGATCATCTTCTACCAACCTGATACCTTGCAGATAAGGCAGGATTATAACCTCCACTGCATCTGTTGCAGTTCAACATATCTGGAGATGCAAGTTTGGGGAAGATTGCTTTAAGTAAAGCACTGAGCACTTCCTAAAATGTGACTTAGATCAGTGGTGGGATTCAGCCAGTTTGCACCACTTCGGGAGAACCGGTTGTTAACTTTCTGAGCAGTTTGGTGAACTGATTGTTGGAAGAAATCATTAGGGCAGGGAACCAGTTGTTAAATTATTTGAATCCCACCACTGACTTAGATGCTGAAGAATTTCTATCACAATGCACTGTGTTTTTTTGTGTATAGATGGGGAAGATACACAGACCCTGCTATATGCATTTGCTGCCTATTCCACTCACAGGCAATTGCAAACCAAGAGCTTCTCAGTTTATTTTTTTTTTAAAAGAGAAATAGACAGAACATGCATTTTTTTTATTTTGACCCAGTGGGTAATCTTGTAAGGCAGGCTATGGGAAGTATCAGGATGCCTGTTTTTGTAATACAGGGAAAGCTATAGCTGATTGCATAACAATCTGAATTCCTGCTCTCTGCAAAGTAGTAGTTTTAAAAACCAGCTGTTGGCTATATGCAACACATGGCGTCCCTGTGTCTCCAGAGGGAACAACCAGAATTTCTAGGACTGAATTGCTTCCAGATGTGAGAACTGAACTCTTTGAGCCTTTGCCTCCATTCCTGTCTCAGCAGAACTCCCTCAAGTCCTTCTATTGGGAAGCAGCGTCTAATGTTACAAGGACAAAGTTTGTGTATAGTTTTTATGAGGCTATAGGCCTACTTTTTGGTGCTATATAAAACCTTTATCATTCTTGGTGCTAATGAGACCTTTTTGATGCAAAATTTGAAAAAAATATTTTGAATTTGCTGGGAGATATGCTGGAGATAAGAGAAACAGGAAAGCCTATGGAATTTATGGTGCTTTGTGGAAATCATCAAACAATGCTTTGTGTGTATGTGTGTATATGTGTATATCTTTTAAATATTAAAACTTCTTGATTGCACTTTGAGTTGTCCTTTTCTTCGTGGGGCTTTTTTTCTCTATGAGAAAGATTTTCTATTACAAGATTTTAGCGTCCCTGGGAAGAGTACAAATGACACTTTTGATGGAAATATTTCTAAAATATAGGAAAACCAGCATGCAGACTGATGGGAGAAAGCCATTACACGTACTATGAAAAGAGTGTTTAAGGCATGAGGAAAATGAGAATAATAACAATTTCCATTTGTCATCAAACACTCCAGGGATCCCCTTTCAGTGCACTGGCCTACCTTGCAGGAACTGAAAAGATGGAAAAGAAGATAGTATGATTTGATTACTAGTTACTAGGTGTTATCTAGTTGGAAGCATCCTCAAATGTGGCTTGCTTTGCCTAAGGTTCTGATCATGTGTAAAAATCTCTTAAGTATTTGCCCTTTGGTAGTGTCAAGTGTCTACAAAAGGGCTACAAAGGGAGAAATAAGTCCCTGAATTCTCCCACAACTACACACAGATGTAGTACATTTGCGGTGAATTGGTATTTTGATTAGGAAAACTATTGGAAAAAGTCTAGCTTATGATTTTGTGTAGATTTCTTTCTCCGTCATATCATACAGCCTTTGTAGCAAAATGTTAGCAATATTCAAAAACAGGAGATATGCTCAGTTTTTGAGCACTTGTGCTCAAATTCAGCTACTGCCCATTTGTGGGAAAGTCCTTACAATACTGTTCTTAAGTAGGATGCATGGAGAATCGGTGTTCTCTGTACAGCTTGCAAATGCTGAAAAATATTCATCACTTCATAGGATGAAAATTTATAGAAAATGGGAGCTTTTATGTGAAAATGCAATGAATGCCCCACTTTCCTTTTCTTCAGCACATATTGAAATCAATATGCCTTTTCTAGGATTTTAACAAATCTCAGTCCAAGTACTAGTGAAATTTATTGTCATGTACAACTCATGCCATATTAAGACTTACAATCAATGTATTAAATGTTAGAAAATAAAAGCATTAGGAAAACATGCTTCATTTTAATAAACTTTTTCTTTCTTTTTTGAAGAACCAAAATTGTCATAGGCTCCAGCTAAGAGTTGTGCTTTGTTTGAAATCAGATATGCTACTGGCAATCCCACTATGTTTATTCTTTTTACCTATATAAAATAGGTAGAATAGGTGGTTTGATTTTTAGCATCAAATATACATGACTTGTCTTGACTCCTTGACTTAATTAGTTTGCCATTACCTGTTTCCTAGGATTGACAGAGAACAGTTGGTCCAAGCTGGGCTTGTGCCTAAGGCAGGACACAGTCTCTAGCATGGTGTCTTAACCTCCCTCTCCCTTTCCCTTTATCCATCCATCCCACCAGAGTCCTGCAATTGAGGCGGCACTGTAATTGTATAAAATAAATGATATGGGATGGGATAAGATGATAGGTAGGTCAACTGTCTTTTCAACATTCAAGAAACTGAACATGTTATTTATGCAAGATGTCTTGACAAAATGTGTCTGGTGGTAATGTGCTTATTTTGGCCCTAAATATTGACCCCGTTGTGTGGTTTCCTCTTTCCTACAGGTTTTTGATCTAATAAAAATCTACATACAGAGGTAGTTTTTGAAAAAAAAAGTGCTTCTTGGAAGAGAAGTGGTTAGGTTTTTACACCTAATGTAGGCCAAACACGGCTATCTCAAGAACAGCCTGGACTGGCTGTCTTCTTCAAGTTATTTTATCCATCTGTCACTTCTAGCAAATCTATTAGAAAATGGCGAGATCAGGGATCCGATGGAGTGAGTATAATATGCACAATACATGTGGCAAGATAGTAGTTCTATTGTTAAAATCCATAATAGACCAGTTGTGAGTTCTAGCCAACAAGGTAAAGACTTGCTGCATTCCAGTACTGAGTTATAATGCGATTCTTAACTATAATTCCTACACATAGTATGATGAATACATACGTGCAAGTACTCATATGTTCCCATATAATCGGAAGACAGAGTCTGACTTTGGGTTGTGAAGCCAAAATATAACATTGGGATTAAATCAATCAATTTAATCACTAATTTCATTCTAAAGGAAATTGATTGATATTTGTATATGTACCACATCCTTAGCCATATTGTTTATACTTCAGTTGCCATGTAAGCCTAAAAATATTAATAAATAGATCATGGTTAACCACAAATAAAAGTGTAATGTGAACTGAACCTCAATGTTTTGGGATTATAAAACATAAAAACCAACTGTGAAGGACTCAAAGTTCTGATGTTTTGAGCTAAATGTCTTTTGGGCCACTACCCTCTGTCTAAATAATATCCAATCTATATTGATTTATAATAGATCCTAAAGAGTTAGTGGAAAAACAGGATTGTATAATTTAGATTAAAAATAAAATAAAATATCCCCTTTCTGAACTCTTTGGCTTCAGTAAAATTTGGGGTCTCATAGAAAACTTTTTTTATATTAAGAATGTAAAAATATTTAATTAATCAATCTGCATTATTGTTATTTGGTCTTATATTCTATTACTAGGGCAGTAATCAGTTCCAGATTCTTTGAATAATTTTAACCTTTCTTATAAGATTTATTAATCTCCCACTCAGTAACAGTTTCTAAATGGGGGAAGTAATGGCTTGACGATCATGCCCTTGCCTTTGAGTTGAGAGAATTGAGGTTCAAAAATTAAAATGAAATACAGTAACAAATTGATTTTTAATAGAACATATGGATTCTAAAAGCGTGTTCTATTATTTGATACCCTGTTCCAAATACTGCAGTTGGTGATAATACAGTACATATAAGAAGGGGCTTATGTATCCAGATCTGAGCCATTTAGTTCAATTAAATTGCCATTTATGGTAAAATTTCTCAACATTAATTTTAAGATGAGTGGACTTCAGCTCCCAGAATTCCCCCAACCAGCATGCTTTAGAGCAGGGATGTCAAATTGGTGGCCTGCAGGCTGGATGCCCAACCCAGCTCCATTAAGGGGAAAAACATTGTGAAACATCACATGACAGCAACATGACGCCACAAGTTTTGCCACCTCTGCTTTAGCGTGATCGCTTTAAGAGATCGCTTTAAGGAGAAATTGGAAAACCTTTTGTCTGAAATAATATAGGGTTGCCTGCTTGAGCAGGAGCCTAGGAAGATCTCCAAGGTCCCTTCCAATTCTTATTCTGATCATATTCAGGACCAGCTTTTTCAACCATTGCAGCTTTTCTGGTGATTTGTGGTTTCAACATCAGTTTAAAGGAGCCAGTAAGAAAGCACCTGGTAAATAAATTGTGTGCAACTAAAAGCATAGTGGTATACCACAACGATGTAGGTCTCTTTATTACGGGAACAAAAACACATTACCACATATTCTTCAAAAATCGAAAGTGAAAGATCCACCATTTTTCTTCCTTTTCCTCTTAGTTTATTTTCTAAATCCTGCAAAGCAATAAAAGACAATTGGATTCCTTTCATATCTGAAGAATGTATCTTTTCTTATCCTCTCATCTGTCCCACTATCTTCTCCTATTGGTTTGTTATGATTTATCAATGGTTGTTTATTATGATCTATGACTTAGTACTTGCTGTTTATATGTATTCTTGTGATCTTATGCACTGGAGACAAATTCCTTGTGGGTCCAATCACACTTGCCAATAAAGAATTCTGTGATTCTAAAAGAAGTCCAAAACAACTACACTTTTCTATATTGCCAACCTTGTATTCTACTCCTACCTAGTCCTGTACTATGTTCCCAACTTTAGCCATCCAGGTCAGAAGATCATCAAATAGGTAGGTGACTTCCCCCCAAGACATTGTCACATCCAGAAAGGGAAAATTGGTTTAGAACTGCTCTAGAATTTGCAAGCACAAATCTAGCCAATGCGTCATTTTTTTATTATTCTCAAATTACTGCATTTTGCTTTTGCTGCTGCTGTCTTAGTAGCAAAAGCAAACCAAGAACATGCTATATTTTATTATTGTGTCTTGAAAACAGAAATCAGTAGATACTAATCAAGATACTGCCAGTTTGTACAAAATAAGAATTGGGTGTTTTTGATTGATTGCTCTATGCACAGCACTGAACTTTTGCATTGTTGAGGCATTACAGAAGGTTCTGCTTAAATACTATGCCC